CACTTAAATATATTCCTGAGAAGTTTTAATCTTTTAAATATTTTTTGAGAAAATATTTCTTATTTTTATTTTTATTTTAGGGGAATGATGAAAAAAATAGGATTTAAAATGAACTCATATTTGGATGTGTAATATTTGCTATTGTATTTCTTGTATTTTGGGTAGTTTTTGGAACTTTTAAATCTGGAATTTCTTGTCAAATTTTTTCTTTCATAATTTTTGTTAAGATTGAATAATCAGACTTTGTTAAATATTTGATGGAAATCAAAAGGACTCAATTTTGACATACTTAATTAGATAATCAAAACTTTTTAAGAATATATTTAAGGGATTATTTTGATTCTATCCTAAATATAATGTGTTGTTTTTGTCATTTTTCTATAATTCTATGAGATAAAGCTACATGTAACATCTCGCTATTTTTAAATTAAACGAGTTTAATTTCTCAATTTTAGATCAATATTAATTAAAATGAATTGTTTAATTCACTTCACCTCACTATTTTTCATTATAGTTAGTATCTTCTTGACTAATAGGATCTTACTTAAGTACTTAGCACAAAAAGCATTCACATTATGCGAACTTTTTCTTAAAAACTTCACAAACTTACTTTAAATTAAAAGCTAAAAAATGTCAGAGAAAAGCACTAGTACCAGAATATTCTTAATCTTATGATTATTTAACTATATATTTATAAAATTCAAAATCTAAGGTTTACCAAATACCACTTTGAATTAAAATACAAATTGTAGACTTAGACTACATAAATTCTTCATGTGTGGGTGCGTCTCATTCTTTTTTATGATTACACGCATAAAGTTTTTTTCTCGAAATGAGTAGTAGTAAGAATCGAACGTAATAATGACTTATGTCTGCTTAGATTGTATATTTAAGTGTGTGATGATCTATTAACATAGATTGTGATAAAATAATAAGTATATTTTTTTTAGTTTTAATCAAAAGTCTCAAGTTTGAATCATCAATATAAAGTCGACTTTAACGTTTTATTTTATATTAGAAGAAAAGTCTAACAAGTGATTCATGTGCCATTATGGAGAAACTCATAATGCTTATTGTAATTATTTAGGTAAAGCTTGATGAAAGAGCCTCTTATAGTATGATACACACTCGTAAACAAATGAGACTTTTTTTTTATGAAACTATATATTTTTATTTATTATTTTGGGGTTTAATTAAAGGGAAAAATGATAAATATACCTCCAAACTATCGTAAATGGTATGCAGATACCCTCTGTCATACTTTTGGGACATTGGTGCCCCTACCATCCAAAAACTAGAGTATATATACACTTCACTCTAACTGAAGACTAAATAGGGACACGTGGCCCAATCTTATCCGTTGATCTGATATTTAATAAATGTCAAATTTGTGGATAAGATTATGACACGTGTATATGTCCGTTAGTATAAAGGGTATATATGCTCTAGTTTTTAGACGGCATGAGCACCAATGTTCCAAAAATATGACAGAAGGTATCTGCATACCTTTTACAATAGTTCGGGGGTATATTTGTCCTTTTTCCCTTGATTAAATAATTATTTTTTTATGAAACATGTTGAATATATATATATATATATATATATATATATATATATATATATATATATATATATATATATTTATAAATCTCCCCATGAGCTTTCTTTTCACACATCAAAATTAAAGAGAACAGTAAAACGTGTGACTTTTCATCATTTTATTTTAGGTGATTAATACTCTACAATTTACTTTTATTTTTGTGAAAATAAAAATAATGTTTTTCAAATATGAACATAAAATAGCTGCTAGAATTTATTAATTTTTTAAAAAAACGTGCACTATTACAGGTGGACCAAAAATTGATTGTCTGTGGATTTGTGGTGCTATAGTGTTAATGTCGGTGTTTTAAAAGAGACAAATGTTCAACTTAGAGAAATTCGGAGCAAATTACTTAGATACACGCTGGTTTGTAATGTTATAAGTCTTATCTGATTTTGATATGTTCAGATACTTCCAGCTATGTTCAGCTACGTTTAGATACATGTATCTCAGATAAATGAAGTAAAAATTAGGTGTAATTTGTTGTAGATATACTGTATCCAAGTGAATTCGCGTGTATCTGGGATACATAGACAAAATCTCGCTTGCCTCTTTCCCATCTCGCTTGCGTACTTGGTATCCCAGATACATGCGAATCACATAAGATACATGTATCTAAGTTGTATCTAGTGTGATTCGTTTGTGAGATAATCTCACTTGCCTCCCTCGTGTTCTCACTTGTCTCTCTCCCTAGTTCAGTGTATCTGGTAGCAAAAAACATGTATCTAGGTGTATCTGACTTGAAATTTCTACTATGAAATTATTAAATAGTGAGATAAAATGTTATTATTTCAAACAATAGGGAGAATCAGTAAATAGGAATGTTTGGGTAATTAGGGAGTTTTCCAGTCCAAAGTAAATAATTTTATGGCAATTTTTTAACGATCAAAATTAATGAATTTTTCTAAATCCAAAGATACACCAATTATTCCTCTGTTCACGATTACTTATCTACTATACTAAAACAAATGTTTATTTTTATTTGTCTAGTTTAAAAATTTAAGAAATAATTTTTCACTTAATTTCTAATTTACCCTAATTATTGCATTTTTTAAAATATTAAATTTATGATATATTCAAAAGGTAATATAAAAAACTGTCATTCTTATAAAAATTACTTATTTTTTAAAAAAAAATCAGAAACATTCTTCATAAAAAATATTTTTTGTCTATGTCAAACACACCCTAAAGTTGAGAGTTAAGACTATCAACCATGACTTTAGAAAAACAAATATTAAAAAATGGATTAATTATGGAAAACATTTGTGACTCACATGGGAAAAAAAGAAGAAGTGCAAAACACATATATTTCAATGCTTTTATTTATAAAAACAAAAGATAAAAATAAAATATTCATCCATTTCTTTTTTCCATCTAGTTCACTTTTTTAATTTTTTGTTTTTATCCATGTGCAAACACAAGATAATATTTTTTTTCTTAAAGAAAAAGTTGGAATTATGTCTTTGGTATACTATTTTACCTTTGAACTATATATGGTTGATTTATATGTTTTTTCCTTCCATTTATTACTACTTACTACTTCCATTTATTACTACTTACTAATGATTGAAATAATTTGGTGTAAATATCAAGTATTGATGAGTTCATATGGTGGCGGATGCAACATAACAATGAGTTTATTCGAACTTAATATAACTACGGCACTAAGCATATTAGTGGTGTGTATATGAGTTTTCTTTCACTATCAGAATCATTTTTTGGCAGGGCTACTAACACTTCAGTCTCTCCTGGACGGAACATCAAGTACATTTATTTTTACCGATTAATCAATTTCTAAAGACTGGAGTACATCCTAAAGACCTACCACTCCCTCATGAATTTATCTTAAATCGAAATCTTTTGGCTCAACTTTATTCTATCGAGGGAGCAACCCCATTTTCCACCTTGAATTGATCAAACTATGTGGAATGTCTTACTTTTCTAGAAGGGTTAGATGTATGAAAATCCACTAAAACTTCAATGAATATTATATCCAAATCCATTTATTTTAGAAGTGCGATAAATTAATTTTTCATTTAAGAACCTCAAAAATTAAATATTTTAAATTTATATTTTAAATTCGTCTCAATAATATCATAATCTAAAAATTATGATGGACTAACCAATTCTTTGTCTAGTAGCAATAATTCATAGTAAGTACTCCCCACTAGCTTTTAATATAGAATATGGGGTCAACTCTTGAAATAGAAGTCTCCTACTTTATTTTTAGTTCATTAATACTTTCACTTTTACTTTGTCATTTTTTCCTAAAATAAATTTTTTCAATATTTTACCCTCATCATTAAATACTTATTTTCCAAGACCTTTAATAGGGGATAGTTTGGTAAAATACATATATCAACAATTATTTTCTTAATGGATATGCCAAATCAAACTGTGACAAGTAAACGTAAACGGAGGGAGTATAAGAAGCATGTGTTCGTTTTTTTTTTCATCAATTATATTTTTTGAAAAATAACTTTTTAAGAAAAATTAAATTCTCTAGTAAAAGTAGAAAAAAATATTCCACAATTGACATTTTATATTTTTTAAAAAAATACTTTTCGTAAAAAATATTTTCCTTCCTTAAAACACCCAAAAAGGGGGTAATACAGTGTGGTCACCTTCTCATCAACTTCTGTTTTTTTTGCTTCCCACTTTGGGCTTTGGGTTATTATGAACCACAACTTTCATTGCCCCATGCCAATAGAAAATAGGTTCTTAATACCTCGACAATCTCTTAAATTTCATTTTGATCTTCAAATTATAACTTATTCTAATTAAATATTTGAACACAAAAATAATAATGTTTTTATTAGATATTTTCAAGTCAAATTTTAAGAAAACTTTATGTTTATTCTCAAGTGTTAATTATGTAGATAAGTTAACAACTTAAAAATATATCACATTTTTTTAATTATACACTGTACACATTAGCCCCAATAAGCCGTAAAACCTCAACCTTGTTCCAATCTAGACTAATAGATATTTTATAGTATTAACTTAAAGACGTTTGAGAACATACGCAACTGACGTATATAATTAAGCCGCGAAAAATCTATTTTCTAAATAGATAATAGATTTTTTGTTTTTGTAAAATAAAGTATTGTTTAATTAGTAGGCATTTGGAATGTGATGGGGCAACTAACAAAGAAACCAATATCAACATCAATTAACAAACATATGATATAATTCTAGTGAAGTGAAAGCCAAGATATGAAACTCTCCACCCATACTATCTTAAATGATTTTTTTAACCTTCTAATTAGGTAATAACTAAAAGTGTAATAATACTACCAATTTTGTAACAAACAATATGGTCACTTTTTTTCTTAGTTCTTCATGTCTATATATATTCAAAACTCAGACCATCAAATGACAAACACCAGATTTCATCATCTTTTTTCCTGCATATTGAGTTCTGACTGAGTAAGAAATGGAAAGAGGAGGAGGACTGGTGGTGCGGGGACGTGTAGAGATCGATACGAGGCAGCCATTCGGGTCAGTGAAGGAGGCAGTCATGTTATTTGGAGAGAAATTTTTGGCAGGAGAAATTTATGCCAAGCAACTCAAAGAGGTTCTTTTTCTTCTCCTTTTGACTTTAACACTTCATTTTGAATTAACCATGTAAGAGTCGATGCAGTCAAGCAAAAAATCATATAGTCGACCCCAACTTGCTAATGATTGGGGACGTAGTTATTGTATGAAAGAAACTACACAAGGCAACATAGATGAAAACAACAATGCTAATGAAATTGAAAACAAGAGAGAAATATAAGTTTAGGAAACAACTAAAAGTGTCAAAAAGCTGAATTTAGACGGATCAAAATAAGTTGTGTTAATAAATGGACAGGTCATTACTTAGGCTGAAATGGGCGAACAAGCCATAAACCAACCCTCTGGGTTGAATTGGACAGATCAAAATAAACTAAGCTAATAGATAAACGGGGCGTTATTTTCATCGACTAGTTTTGTCACTCTAAACACAACTACTTAAGCCCTCAACTCTAATGTATGTGCATGAAGCTTAATTATTTCAACTATCTCAGGTGCAGAGCAAGGCAAGTGGTGAACAGAACCAGTCTAAAGTTGAATCACCAGTAACAGTAGAGCTTGAAGAAACAAAGCAAAACCTCCAGAAAAGTAAAGAAGAAGGAACATTCATGGCGCATTGCCTTCAATCTTTAAAAGAAGAGCTAGAACTAACAAAAAGAGAGATACAGCAATTGAAGACAAGAGAACTGAAGCAGAAAGTACCGTTAGCGCTGGATAATCCTGAGATTGATGAAGAGCTCAAATTCATCGAGAATCCGTCATCCAAAGTTGAAGCCAGAACACAGTTTCAAGAGGAAGATGACAATGAGATAGAGTTCAAGACAAAGAGGTCTGTTAAATTTGCTAGTACACCTTTACTCACAAGGATCATTGTCAGCAAAGATCATGTAAATAAAGAAATGGAGACTAGTCCTTCACAACTTAAGAAGAAAATGAAAAGGAAAATGAGGCCTTTAATCCCTTTGATTAGTGGATTGTTTTCCAAGAAGAAGGGAAATCAAGAACACTAATATTCATACAAACGGTTCGAGCTCTGGATATGGAGTCATCTTTGTTAAGGATAATTTTACCCCCATTGTGGGACTTCCCATAAAAAATCCAAATATAGTCACCGATCCCAATTACAGATACCAGGCGGGAAACCAAAAAAAAATAACCACAAAAGCGATGTTAAGTTTGAATTTAGAATAAGGATAATGGTAGAGGTCTCAAGAAAAGATTTTTACCATTGAATAATTGGTTGTTACTAAGTTTTCTGTTTATTAGGGAATGTGTTGGTTCATTTGTTTTATAATCTAGACAAAGAGTGCCTGTAAATTAGTTCAATATTCTTTAAATATGCATAATTGTACACATTGAATATGTATACAACAACAACATACCAAGTGCAATTACACAAGTGGGGTATGTTGTTGATGTATATATGTGAATTGAGAAGATGATCAACATATTCTTGTTCATTTGTTGTGTATCAAATTTGATGATTTCCTCTGGCAAATACTCGAATAGACTATCATTTTCAGATACATCAGACTGGAGAGACAGACAGAGGAAGCAATTGCATCTCATGTTCGCTTTCACCAGGAAAACAGACAATTCAATATAAATGTATCAGATGACTCAAGTTGATACAGTTTGCAATATCAGTCTCAGAGTATTTGATGAAACAGTTCAATGATAAAATAGAGAACATACTGATACTATTCTCTTGAGTACCTTGGTCACCTGAAGCAAAACTGGTAAAACAATCAATTTACACCATATCTACTAATGTACATCATTCGATGTTCACCAAATCTACTAAAACTACACACAACATGATAAAAAGTTTAAAGGAGGATACCAATGTATCTTGTAAAGCTACAACAAATTCAAGTTGGTTATAACTCAAATGCTATGCAACACTAACAGATTGAGCTGGCACGTCTCTCTCACTTTTGCACCTGTACAAGCAAAAGTCCTAGATGTCAAGACACAAATATATGTTTTGAAAATGGATGGTTGGGGATCAAGATTGCAAGCAAAATAGATATTCCTCATCAAGTTTTCTCAGTTCCATATTTGTCTCTCGGCCTACATATCTCAGGTGATGCAGTTAAGCCAACACCGCTTCCCTCCCTCTGTTCTTCCGAAGGGTGAATCTTTTTAAACATTAAATACTTTACATGTGATTGAAAAACCTTTTATTTTTAATCAGAAAAAAGAAAATGTGATTGAGAAGACCATCATCACAATGAGAATACAAAGCAATATGAAATGCCCAAATGCAATTTTAAAAATAATTGCTAGTACCTCCTTAAAGAACAGAAACTACAACTAAGCTGGAGTAATCGAAGTGAAGTTAAGGTAATCTGAGGTTTACCAGCATTTGCTTACTAGCGGTTCACAGAATTATGAATTAAGCAGCCCCCAAGACTTTAACTTAGTGGTAAGAGTGCAACGCGTGATGTGAGTGTAAGCATACATCATTGGCTCAAACCTTGCCGCAGACAAGCCTAGTAGTTAAATGGAGACGGGTACAGAAGCAAGCCCATTATCCATTGAGGTGCACCACTGACCCTCGGAGATTTCTCCTTTATGAAAAGAAAATTCTGAACAAATTGAGAATTAATTAATCAAGTTTGAAGCATACCTATTACAATTTGATCGAGAAGCGTAGTTATGATTACTGCAATTTGTGCACATCCAGTCCCCATCACGCCATTGCTTTGCCCTGAGAAAAACATCCAACAACACAATTTAAAAAATGAGTGTAAAGAATGGTCTCTAGCACTGTACTTAGATGTAGACGATGATTATTTCGTCTGGAGCTAGTCATCTTGCATTATCAGTTTGCAGTTGGTTTTGCCAGTTGCATCGTGATAATACAGATCTGAAACATATTAGATGAAGTTGTGCAAACAAAAGATTGATATATTTTTAATGGGTAATTGCACGAATATCCCTTAATAATAAGGTACAACAAGCCCTGTTAGGTTGCTAGAAGCCCTCTATCAGTTGTCTTTCAATGTGGTCATTGGATAAGTAAAGGAATTTTCAGCTAAAAAGAGGAAAAAGAAAAGGAAACAAACAAACTGAAAATACCCTCAAATCACATCAAACTTCAGACATTTTTATCTTTTTCAAGACAGTGGTGTCCATGCCATTAGTCGCACCTCGACAAATTCCGTACCTGGTACCTGCTACCTCCCACTAGCACATGTACTGAATAACTCTGTTCTACAAAACTTAAGCAGATGCGAAGAACACACATATTAGGTAACACAGCCCACTAGCATAACCTTATCTTTATTTATTTTTTGAATTGGCAACTTTAACCTTATCTTTATCTTTTGCCCTTCATTCGCAACTATAGATTTCGAGTTGTAGCTTGTCCATTTTTCTCTTTCCTATTCCTAGTAAAGATGTCATATATGCCTGCCTCACAGCCTATTCACCTTTTTTACAATTAGAATATGTAATTGTTCCTATTGGAACAAAAAACTCTCGATGATGGCTTGTTGTCCGGCCTCTTAATTTGGTGGTGTTTAGGAACAAAGTTCAACAAAATTGTTCCTCTAATACCAATAATCCTCAACAACCTGATGTCACTTCAGCAAAGGGAGGAGGGGAGGAGGGGGGGGGGGGGTATTATCCTGTGATTGTTGCACTACTATTTTCCAAAATAAATGATCCTAGTGCTAAGTCAGTTTGAAGGACAAATGTGAGTATCTTCTGCTGCCTCCACTAGTCAGTCTAAATAACCCAGAAGCAAAAGTACATAATAAAATCTTACCCTTTACCAAGGAGTGTAGGTGCTGCTGGTACACGAGGAATCTGCATGTTGGCTTGCAAAGGAAGCACCATTGAATTTTCTCTAGGGAAGATCGTTGGGATTGCAGTTAGTTGATTTCCCCCTGAATCCCCCATCCATTCTGCTCCTGGATAGCCTTGTTGATATCCAAATGTCTATAAGTTCAAATAAAAGAATATAAGAATGTCAACCAAACAATCCATAACATCAATTTATCGATATCAATACCAGAAGATGGTTCCTTACATGCCCTGCATTCAGCCTCTTGTTGTCCCAATCATGAACAAGTTCCTCAGATGCTAATCGCTTAGTTCCAAGAGCTTCATTGTGCAAGGGAAGACAGGAGAGATCACACTAGTTCAGTTACATGCACAGATTACTGGACTAAAAGCAAACATGTGCAGGTAAAAAGACAGACACAATTTTCTTTGCCAAAGAGCAACAACATACCCAGTGAAATCCCACAAAGTGGGGTCTGGGTAGGGAAAAGTGTACGCAAACCTTGCCTCTATCTCGTGGAGGTAGAGAAGCTGTTTACGAACGACCCTTGGCTGAAGTGAAGCAAATCAAAAACATAATGGAAAGGAGAAACAGCAGTGAAGAAAACATGACAACTAATAGGAAACCGGTGCTGAGCATACAAGTAAGGAACAGTACCATCAGCAAAATAGTGAGATCACCTACTCAAGCATAATAAACAACAGATGATAACAGATGCCAAAGCCAGAAAATAGCAAGTCCAAGCAACATAACTTACGGCTTCCCTTTAAACTTCCAACTATGTTACAGCAAAAATATAATTCTTTTTAAATAAAGATTCAGCTCAGGAACATCAACATGTCCAAATGTTCACATCACTTTTTCCTCCAAACACAAGTAAAATTAATTGGAAGCCCTTGCTCAATAGATGTTTTGTATGTATAGGTTCCAATGGTTTGGCAGGAACTAAAATGAAACCGGGAAAACTAGTCAGAACTAGCCAGCTATAAAGTAGAAATAGTTAAAAAGAGTTCTGCAAGGACAGTGACTGTGACAAGCGAGGGCTGCTCAAGTGTAAGAACCCTCAGCCTCCAACCCTGAGGTTGCAGGTTTGAGTAACCAAGGGAGCACAAAGTGGGGAGCTAAGGTGGAGGGTCACAACAAAAATTTAAAATAAGGACAGTGACTGTATAAGCATTCTGATATATATATTTCTTTTGGATAAAGTATAAGCTTTTTTTTTTTCAGTTAACTTTAAAAAGTATAAGCTTGTGATCTATACTCATTAATTAAATGGAAAACCAATGAAAGATTTACGATGTGCAAACCTGTTATAGGGGTACTGGTAAGAGAAGACGATGAAGCTGGAGGTGCAGAAGCATTGCATTTTTTGCACTACAAGAGCAGATGGGCATCCACATGAAACTGCCAGTTAAAAATGGTTTTTGATACGTTGGAAGTATTTAGTGTTCTATTTGCAAATACCTGAGCTCGAGAAGAGTAGTTGTGAAAGCCACAACTGCAGAGCCAGTCACCATTACGCCATCCATTTGGAACTGGAAGCAGCTGATTCGTTTGGCTTGCATATGAAACTCCAGGAGTTTGCAGCAGTCTATACCGATCAGCAGGCTGGCTTTGGTATTGACCAGCCTCCCCCAGAGACCAGTTAGAGCTCAAGGGAAGTTGTTGGAGAGCTCCATGTCCTAAGAACCCAATGTTCAACCTTTGTTCCATACCTCCTTGTGTCCTGGCAAAATAATTTGTATGAGATGGGAGAGATGCTCCAGGGATTGCAATTGCTGGCATTGCTGCTACCTCCTTTGGTTGTCCACATTTTTTGCACTTTTCTCTTGATGCATAATTGTTGTTAGTGCAACCTAATGGAGCATTCCCACACACACGCAATACACATTGCATCCAGGAAGAGGAAACAAGCCAAGAATACGCACGCCAACCCCGCCATCCAAGATGAAAACAGACAGGAGAAAACATAAAAAACTCAACCTAGCTGAAATCAGGTTTCTTATAAAGTTTAACATAACAAATCAATCTCTCTTAAAATATGAATAATGCATAACAACCTCCACTATATTTGGTAAACAACAACATATCCAATCCACTGAAATCTCACAAGTGAGGTCTGGGAAGGTACAATGTATGCAAACCTTACCACCACCTCGTGGAGGTAGATAGATTACTTCGAAAGACCCTGGGCTCAAGTGCAACACATTTTGGTATAAAGGAGACAATGAAGAGAATATAGCAAATAACAAGGAAACAGTGCAAAGGTCT